CCCCCCCCCCCCCCCATTTTTGAAGCTAGGGAAAACCTATTCTTCCTTCCAGTCATTTGATACTTCATAAAGTTCATTTTCCTGAACTTTTCAGTGATAATGGATAGAGGTTTGACTAGACCCTAGAATGCATTCCATCTGGCTCTGGAGGTATAGATTCATTCAAGATCAATAGATATTCTCTGGCTTTATTTCTGTGAAGTTCTTGCTCCTTCAACTACTATCACAATTACTTGGTGAAGTGCATATCCATTTGACATGCTTCCAGTCAATGCATTAAGCATGTGTGGATTGACCCAAGCAATCCCATTAGCTATTAACAAGGAACCTACGGGAATATTCAGCCTAATACTTAGCTTTAGTGCTTTAGGGAATTTATACTGTATAATGATTTATATACAATTTCTTGGTATGCCTTATAACAGCCATTTAAGTTAGGCCATTATCTTCTGGGTAACATAGGAGAAACACAAAACCAAAAGAGCTTCCTAAAGGCCATCTTCTAAATTCAAATAAAGATACATTTTGAACTGAGGACTTCTGCTTCATCTTAATTTCTTGTTATCCAGAGTCCATCGATGTGCAGTGAATGCTGCTGTAATATTCCATCCCTTTATCTTCCAGGGGTACATTAACTTTTGTTTCTTGATACTATAAGTAAAAACAGCACTTCTTCATTCTTTTTCCCAATGAGCAATTATCTTTCCCAAGCTGAAGCAGAGAATCCCAAGAGGAAGACATAGCTGCTTACAATTCATAACACTAAGGAGTTTTTTAACCTATTTTGTTTTCCTTCCTTCATTTTGCATTTTAGTGAGAAGCTAGATAACACAAGTGAATTATTAACCCAGTACAAATATGGAAGCTTTGTTTTCTTTGTGAAATATAATTCCTTGAAGCTTTAAAACAATAAAGCACTACATAAAATATCAGACCTCAATACAATGACACAAAACCTTAAAGGCCAACGTCTTTACTTGGTAAAGGATTTCAATGCTATATTTTTTGTTGTTAATTAAATCTCATACTAATTTTTTAAAATTATTTACTACTATTTGATTAGCCTATGTAGAAATCTGTTTCCCATGATGATCTGCCCCCATTTTGGATCAGATGGAGTTAGTTGCATTGATTTTGTAATAGTTTGTTTATTACTTTTGTCCATATATTCTTGAACTGAGTTTTCCCCACCAATATATGTTTAGCTTGCTTAGTTTTTAGTTGAGCTGAATGTTGCTATGACACGAAGATAAATTGTGCCAGTTTGTTCTTGTCTTCATGCAAGAAAGTCTTTCAATACGGGCTTTATGTCTTCAAGTCACTTTGTTTATTACCTGAGGATGACCCAGATAGTTTCACCATGGGAAGTAATTCAGAGAGAGCTAAGAAATTTTCACTGCCATAACTGTCATATAAATTGTAGACCAGAAGTAAACAGAAGCTCTGGGTCCACATTTAGCAAGCTAAAGCTTCTCAAAATCTGACCTGCTCTAGAAGATTATCATGTAGCAAATGAGCCTGTCATTCAAAGTTAAAAAAAAAAAATCTGGCAGAGCAGTGTCCTGGAAGCGCTAGAAACAGATCACTAGTTTACTTTACAAAACCATAGACCTTAAAACATAAGAATAGCTCTGGTGAATTCTGGTGAATCAGGTCCTGTGCAATCTTATTCCAGCTTTTTGTTTCTATCAGTGACCAACCAGTTAATTTAATGAGTGATCCACTCATATTGACAATACCTTTATCTAGTCCCATTGATATAATTACACCCATATCAAGATATATAATTTTATCTATAACTGATAGCTATCATAAAGTGTGTTCACCATGAGAGTTAACAGTGATTGACCAAAGTATGTGAATTTTGTTATTTTTCTGGATGGTTGGATGGATGGATACTTTTTGGTTGTTAGATGGATATTAGATGGATAGTTTTTGGTTGTTCAAGCCACACCTATAATTTTTCGTATTATTTTAGTAATATTATGTTAACTCTAGAAATATATTGCAAAATAAACTTGGAACATACACACCATTCTCACTGATGGCATTGTGGCATGTATTGCATCTCTAATTTGAATAATTAAAATAGTTTTTGACATAGCTTCACATTTTGTTCCCTTATAGACAATGAATACAAAAGAAGAATACGAGCACAGAAAAGATAAGGAAAGCTACCTTTGTGCAGTTTGCTTGGATATCTACTTTAATCCGTACATGTGCTATCCATGCCACCATATTTTCTGTGAACCTTGCCTACGTATGCTTGCCAAGGATAATCCAACTAGCACTCCATGTCCTCTCTGCCGTACTGCAATTACCCACGTTTTTTTCCAATCAGGTAAAAAGCCTTTTTAAAATGTTTCAGCAACTATTGTCTATATTTCCAAATTATTATTAATAATCCAACTGCCTACCCTTCTCAAGAAAATGTTCAGGATTAATTATATTCCAAGTATAATATACTAATAACATATAACCAAAGAAAATAGGACCAATTTACGTGTGATATCAGCTGATACATGTGTCTAAAACTGTATCTGTCTCAATAATTAGCGGCATCAGTGGCAGCGTCATCATGCTGATGCAACAAAATTTATGTGATGATGTCACAGTGCATGTTTCATCATTTGCTCCCCCTTACACTGATGCCTATGCCACTATTATAAAGAGAGTTAATATATAAATATTTGAATGTATTTCAGTCAAAATTGTTTGACAGTTGGCATATCTTCATAGCAAAATCCAGAATGCATGTAGCTGGTATTATATTTTCCCCAATTACAGTGGTACCTCTACTTACGAACGCCCCTACTTATGAAATTTTTGAGATACAATCAGCTCCGGCCCCAAAAATTTACCTCTACTTACGAATTTACCTCGACTTACGAGCCATTTTTCACCTGTTCCACGTGGTCTGCGGCCATTTTTCCACCCATTCCACGTGGTCCGCGGCCATTTTCCGCCCGTTCCATGTGGTCCGCAGCCATTTTTCCGCCCTGCCGCATGGTCAGCTGCCGTTTTTCCTCTCC